ATAAATAAATAAAACGCAAAATTCTTAATCTTCATCAATATTTATTTTATCTCCTTCAAAATATGCTCCATTAGAAGCGATACACAAATGCCAACGTTTCTTCCAATCATCAAAACATTTTTTATTGGCGCTTTCCGGTATGGCTTTGAGTTCCCTCTGCGAATTCTGTTTTTCGTCTTCTATGGATTCAAAACGCGTTCCTCTGAGTGGTAATTTGAGTTTGGGAAACAGGAAAAAGTCACACGGTGCAAGATCAGGTGAATACGGTGGCTGTTTGATGGTATTTATTGAATGTTTGGCCTTAAAATCGTTGATAATGTTGGCTCGGTGCGAGGGAGCATTATCGTCATGAAAAATCCATGAATTATCCTTCCACAATTGAGGCCGTTTACGGCGGATAGCTCTCACGACCGATGCCTAGCTCTCGTGCTATCTCTCTAACACTCACATGAGGATTTTGGAACACGATTTCCTTTGCCTTTTCAATGTTTTCGTCGGTGGTAGAGGCCGAAGGTCGTCCAGAACGCGGCATGTCTTCGACGGTCGTACGACCGTCCTGAAAGGCTTTGTACCACTCATAAACTTGAGTTTTCGATAAAACTGATTACCCATAAGCCTTTTGTAGCATTCGCAACGATTCTGCACACGAAATTTCGTTCGAAACACAAAATTTGATGCAAACTCTTTGTTCAATATTTTTTTCCATTGTTTTTTCGCAACGCACTACTGAGGGGAACTGGTTTCAAACACTGCCGTAAACAACTGTCTGACAGATCGCGCTCGATTTTGCATATTAATTAAGACAGTGCTGCCAAACTACATAAACTTAAAATATCGAAAAATATACAGCGCGCGAATTTTAAATGAGAACTTCCGAAAACCTTTCGGTCACAATGTATCTATTCAATGCTTACAATATATATATATATGTATATAAAATGAAACTTAAACTAAATTAGGTACTTAATATAGAGCGACATTAACTATCTATTCGCAGCAGAACGAAAATTCACCTAGTGTACTATTAATTCCATAAGAGTTCCGTAACAGCTCCTATGATAGAATTTTTCTTGATAAAAAAGAATTTTTATTGAGATCGAGATTTTATTTTAAAATATAGATTTGGAGACCCATACTAAGTTTCAAATAATCTGATGTATTGTTTAAGTAGAACAATAAGCACGTTGACACGTTATTCAACTTTGAAAATTCAGTTGAAATAAAAACAGGAGATCATTTTCAAAGTGTCTAGATTGATGGAGTGAGAATTTAACAGGAACAATTACACTTACGAAAACTATAAGAATTTATAGAGCTTTGTAAGAAAAGTCAGATATGTAGTTTTACTATAACGTCAATGAGAAAGAAGTGTAAAAACGAAAAACTATCGGTATATACTGTCTGATTTAAGGTACTGATTTGAGATGAACAGTTGAGAGAATACGTATAGCATGAAAGAGTGTTATAAGGAAGATCAGGGATTGCACTTAAACTGTATTATCAATTAAAAAGAGATTGAAGAGTTTTTTGTGTAGTACAGTTACACGTAGTAACTGTTTAAAATAGACTTTTATTTTAGAAATTAAATTACATTGATTATCAATCACAAAGTCTAGTACTATCCCCAAAATACCTTATAAGTTATTAAAGCTTTGTCAAAGACGTCTGCTGACATTTTTCTGTAGCCGATTTCGTAGATAGCAATGGACCTTATTACTCTGTTGATACATTAGCAGTTTTTATTGAATTACATATAAATACATAAATGAATAAATGATAAAAAAAAACCTTGTCACCAAATTTATAACCTCCGGGATAACAATTTATTTTGTGTTAAATGCGGTAATTCTTCCAGAAAATGCTGCTTGTCGGCACCTTTGCATGCAGAACCACAAAAGAGGTTGGATTTGTGCAGAAGGAAAACGAATGCACTTAACAGTCATTCATCAAATGAAGTGCAGCAGCACTGGGAGTTGCAACAGTAGCAGCAACAACTGCCACAGCAGCACAACTAGCGGCAACAATAATAACAGACAAAACGAGCCGTACGCGCGGCGCTGCAATTGTGACACCATATTTGGTCAGCGGACTAGCAAACATTTTTCTACGAATTCGCCAACGCCGTAACTCAAACAATTGACAATGAAGCATGACGAAATGTTTTATTTCTGCAGTGGATTTTCTGCTGCAACCGGCGAGGCAAGAAGTACACTGAGAAAAATGTAGGCTGCCCGCAGCGTTGATATGCAAATATTTCTCCGAGACAAAATTTCAATCTTATTTTCGTAAAACATCTTTTGTGGATGCGAAACTTTGCATAATAAAAATATCGAAATTGACTGCAAAAGGTTGTATGCATAAGAGTCAGCTATTTTGTGGTCATTTGTGTACGACATGCTGTGCTGAACATAATATGTCAGGATAAACATTTTTATATTAGAAGAAAGGATATGCATTCCATTTCTTGGTTGGAACCAGTAACTTTCTCTTTAGTTATGGTTCGGTTTAGGTTTTGTTTATTTAAAAAATTTTTATTTTTCAATTGTTTTGGCATAAACCAAACCGCCTCTTAGCACTCGCATGTGGCAGGTTGCCACACAACTGCGATATGCACTTTCTTCCTGTTCAACAGGCCGTAAATGTTAGTGCAACTTGAGTTCGTAAATTATGGCCTACCCGGCAAGACCTCTGGTTGTGTGTAAAATGCGTGTCATTTCATTGCGACTTTTTCTTTCAAAATATTTTGATTTGTGTTTACTATACACGACATACTCTAACAGAGTTCCAATGTTCGTCCGTCCATCAGTCACTGGGCTTGCCTACTTCAATGCTATTTGCGCGACACTAAACGCTGTGAACTAAAACCACAACTTGAAATATATCGAGCAGTGCAGGGTGCCTGGTGTGTGGTCTACGTATCTAGTATCTCCTCCTTTTTAATTTATCTCCCATAATTTATTAACGAACACTTGAGAATACTATTAAAACCAATACCATTCCCTACAATATATTTGTATGTTTTATATCACAGCGATGAGGTTTTTAGAACATCATAAAATGTTGTTAAGGCGCTAAAGGATTTATGTATGATCACTGCACAAATCTGTGCTTCGATGCACTGTTAGTTGGTGTCTGTTCAGAGATCTATGATGAAGGTGTTAAAGTACGAAATTTTGTCAAAAAAAAAAAAAAAAAAAAATTATAGTGCCATTTTGACTTGTTTAAGAATTCGCTTTGGGTGGTCGGTAAGCATGTTTGGAGTACGGAAATAATATAGAACATATGAAAATTATAGCTATTTTTAAAACAATGAATTTTATTTTATTTTTATAGTGGTTAAGGAATCCTTTAAAAAACTATAAAAATAGAATACAATTCATTGATTTAAAAATAACTACAATTTTAATACATTATGCATTATTTTTATAAATTCTTTAACTGCAGTGCATCCTCAAATCAGAAGCCATTGCAATTTTTAAAATAAAATAAAAATTTGCATATATAAATATAGCGAAATTTGTTAGTAACAGTAACTAAAAAACGACAGAATTTTTCTATATATCATAATATATTGAAAGATATTGACATGTTTAATAAAAATATTAATAAAATCTACAGCGAAATTATTTTAAAAATTGATTTGATTTTCAAAAGTCTACACATTTAATAAATTCATATTAAATTAAACTAATCTTAACAAGAGAGAAGAGTTATAAAAAATATATCTTTACCTCGCCAAATAAAACTAACTAAATATATTCTTTCTATCAAACAGCACTTCATTATAATTTATTATTAATAGACTCAAGCTTATATAGCCAAAAAAAGTAATATAAAAAATATACATTAAAAAAATTACAAAACAAATACTTAAAAAAGTGGTTTACGACGTCCAATAGCCATCAATTTGCCCTTCAGAATATTGTTCTCGAAATCGATCTGTTGCTGCTGCTTTTTACGAGTGGTCAGCGAGGGCGCAATTATTTTGCGTGGCACCATCTGTTGGTACTACAAGAAACATATACCATTGAAAACGTAATACACTAGATGAATAATGAAGTTATGTTCTTACCGCATTATTATATTTTTTTGGCTTCAAAGCAACTAACTTTCGTGCCAAAATATTGTTTTCGCGGGCAATCTCACGCATCTGCAAATCGGTGAAGCTGCGATTTCTAAAAGGTCTTACGGCAGGAAAACGCGCAGGAACTGGTATTCTTTCCATGTGAGTTTTAAAGTTATAAATAAGAAGATATACTAAAAAAATGTGTATTACTTACCTTGCTTTAGATAAATTCTTACCCAAAAGATCTGTTTGAGATTTGTTAGCTTCCTCTAATTTTATTAACTGCTCACTTTCTGAAGGTTTGGCAGAGCGGATTATAGTGTGCATGCGCTTCCTAATCATATCATTTTTAGCATAAGATGTACACGGAGATGAATCATCTGTCACTTCTGCATCAGTATACTCTGTAGAATTATCATCTGTTGCAGATGTAGTATATTCTGCACTCGTTGAATCTGTACTATAACTGCCATATTCTGATAAGTCAGCTTCATTTTCTGACAATGTCAGAGATTCAGTTTCATACTCCACTTCTTCGTCACAAGACTCTGTAACATATTCCTCTTTGTCATCATTATCATCATACTCAGCATCTGAGGCATCTTCTTTTATATTTTCCTCAACAGTTTCTTCCTCTTGTGAGCTTCTACTGTTGGAAAAATTTTGGCTTTCTTTCCACTTTAATAAATTTAATTTAAATTGCATTAACTTCTCACGCGATTTTCTATTCATCTCAGACTTATCATCTTCAATCTGCTGAGCATTTTCGTACCTCTTTCTATCTATAACGTTTGGGCTAACTGTTCCACTGCGTGTGCTTGCACTTTTCTTGACTTGATAACTACTGTTGGTTTCGCATTCGCTCTCGCCAGAAGCAGTCATGCTTCCTCCTGATTGTTGTTGTAGCGCAACAACTGAAACATCCGTTTCCTCTAAATCAAAGTAATCAATATCAGAAGTTATTGCGCTAATTGGTACTTGTCGTCCTTTTCTTTCTAATAGTGTTTGCTGTTCGTCTTCTGTTTCCTTAGCATCACTTGCTACTACATTGAATTGTCTAACAAGTATTGTTTTTGATTCTTCTAAGCTTTTAAGTATATTATGCTTAGCACGAACCGTGTTTTTAATAGACTTAATAGATTTCTGCTCTTTATCAGATGTCTGGTGGGCTGCAGGTACTTGTTTCGGAGTTTTATCAGCTGGATTAGTACGCTCCGAATCATTAAAATGTGGTGTAAGAGATTCATCAAAATTCATAGGAAGAACAGAAATGTTATTTTGTTCATCAAAAGAATCAGTATCTCCCTCGTCATCCGACGAGGAAGTCATAAAACTAAGATTTTTGTTAAGTTCAGTAGAATTGCTTAATATACGTTGACGTGCGTATGCAGCAAGTGCCTTGAAAAATTTATTAAGTTAAAGTTAATATAAAATTTCAGTTTTATTTTAATTTTTTTATTTATCAAAAATCCCTTAAACTTGATTTATAGTATATACATAAAGTGCTTACTCTTTGATATTTATACTTCAAGAGCCTCGTTGTACTTGATACCCAGATATTTAATGCAATATATTTTTATAGCATTCAAAATAAATCAAACCAAAGAGTAATATATAAAGAATTATCACACTATATATAATATAATATATTATATATATGTATATATACGTGTATATATATATATATATATACGTATATAATATATACGATATAAATATCGCGTCGTATCTAATTGTATTCCATAAATATTCGCAATAATTCTAAATTAGATGATTCTTAGCATCTTGTCACTTACCTCGTTCCGTTTAACAGGTTGGCAGTTTATAATATTCTCAAATTCAGACTCGGATGTCTCGAAATAGTCACCACTTGTATCCGTTCCATGGCCATTGGACGCAGCTGCTCTTAAGTAAGTTTCTTCGTCTGAAGTTACTTTTTGTGCCATTTTCGTATTATCTTTTTAGCAAATATATTCGATCAATAATATAAAATTTTATATTTGCTTAAGCTTCAGAAAAATTGTAACAATCGCAACAAAGAAAAAGATAATAATGAATATTTGAAATATTTTCTTTAATATATTAGTTAGATCGAAATTTATAATTCTCATGACCTACTTACAAAATTATAGTTCAGATTAAGTGAATCATGGCCTTCCAAAACTCTATTGAACAGTGCAACAGATATTTAGCTATCTTCTATGCTCTATTCCTATCTATATTGGCATTACGTCATTGATTACCGTTCAGATTTCTGGTAAAACAGCAAGCTAAGTTTATAGAATGCAGATTTAACAGTGATCTGAAACTGAAACAGAGCACACAGATATACTGAAACAAGACTTTCCATCTCTTAATTCTATTAACTACATGTGGTCATATGCAAACCTCGCTTAGGCGTTTGGTTGTCTCATATCAAGCAGAGCTTATGTAGTCCATGCTTACATAGCAGACATTAAACGTACGACCTCAAACTAAACGACTATTGACTATTGCAATGTCTTTTAGCAGAAGTATTGAAAATTCAGTCTGCAGCAAAGTGGTTCCTAAGCAATACGGTTTTTGACATGTTTGTCGCAATCCTCTCGGACAGCCAAGCTGTAACTAAGTCTGTAATGTTACAAGTACAACTCATGCAGTTCAAGATTACAGGACTTCTCGTAGACTTGTCTAGGTTTACCAATGTCCAACTCAAATACGAACTTAGACACGGAAACATCACTGGAAACAATAAAACAGACGAACTTGCCAAAGCCCTTCGTTATTCAATTTTCTGATATTAATATTTGTCTTGTAATGGCTTAAGGGATTGATAAGCATAAATATATACGGTTGGCAAGAAAAGCTTGAGTAGATGAAGAATCTTGTCTTGTCAGTATACAACTGTCAGTTTATTTAAATTGATCTAAATGGGACAAAATTCGTACCAACTAAAATATTACCTGCTTCAGCTAAAACAGAAACAGCACTACTATAGTATCAGTGCTGACAGATCATTGTGTATTAGGAAAGAACGCAATAAGTTTTGAGCGACCCTCAACAATATTTGTTCGCATTGCGGTTCTATAGATGAGAAGAAAATTGTACCACATCGAATATGTCAATGTCCATCATAAGTTAATAAAATTTGCGTGGCTCCTTTTGATCTGAGAGAGCAGTCATTTATTAGAATTAGGAACATACCCAAATTCATAGAGTTGTAAAGTTGGTTGTTTTCAAAATGAATTGGAAAGTTACGCTTTCAATGTTTGGGACTTCTATCTTTAAGGTGGTTATTTAGGTCTGGCGTATCTTATCGTCTTATCGATTATCGATTTTATCACCTTTTTTTTATTTACTGAAAGATTCGGTGTACAAGGATGCCATTTCAATCGAACCTAACTTTTTTTGTGAGGAAATACTGCCAAAAATGTTTCCAATATGTACCATTAATAGCTGAAAGAACGTCTATATTACTAGTGCTATAAAAATTTTCACATTTAAATAATTTCTCTGTGACAGATCTTTAGAGAAGTACTTTTTTGACAGTTTGTTAGAGTCTTCTTCGTGAGGACTAAAAAACTGTCTAATTATAATTAGTTAATTGCAAATTAACTAACTACAATGTGATAAATTTATATCTTTGAATAAAGTAAAAGAAAAACATACGTTCTCCCATCTTGAGAGGAATATGACAGAAAAACTGCGAAAAATTGCTAGTTATTGGAACCGGGAAGAGATCTATCGATCTGTTACTGCAACCAACCGACCTAAAAGATTTGATTGATTTATATATTTGTTTTCTAAGTTTCGGATAATCCATATAATAAGAAAGATACTTGATATATCTTTCCCATAACTGACATATCTGTTTCAGTTATGGTAGCACTCATCACCTTTCTTGTCTTCAACTAAATATTTTCAAAAAAAATTTATCTGACAAATACAGCTGCACAATTGTAACACACTTTCGTTACTTCAAAAGTTTGACAGACAGTTCTGTGTCCAATTTCAAATATCGAATGATACAATATTTTACTAATGACTCCAATGTTTAAGTGGAGAGCAGTTTTAGATGGTATTTTTACTTATGACACCATGTAACGTTTACGTACCTATGTCTGATATTTCTGATAGGCACTTCATTATAATTAATAAAGAAATGAGTTGAACAGTGGTATTACCTAGAGTCGAACAAATAATGAGCTTTTGCCAATTAACTTATCTTCTTAAGAAATCCCACATAAATATTCTAAATACAATACAATTCATCTAATGCAGTCAAATCAAATCAATTTTAAAATTTACAATTCCAAATATTTAAAAATCTTAAAGATATTTTATATTTGATTTGTTTATTTAATTTTTACGCAACTACGAACACGCCGCAACTTTCAGATACAATTTAAGTGGCGGCGCCAATTCGCTCCACTGCAGCCATTCACAGCCATTCACAGCCACTCACAGGCTAGGCAAACCAATACCACCCAGTACATTTATAGATACTTGCATGGCGCTTAACCACATGATTGTGGCCAATTTCGAGTATTTATATTTACAAAGTGTTGAATGCATATTTAAGTTAACAAAACATAAATTTTTCATATTAGAAAATCAATTAAATTCCCTTGAAATAGCTTAACTCATGTATACAAAATATAAAAAATCTCCAACAAATTTTTTTTACTAGACGACGGGTCGGACGCCACAAGCCAAACACAGCGCCCAACGGCTCCAACATCATTATCAATGCATCCAATGCCAATAAACTTGCCGACTACAACAGCAACAAATTGTTGAGAAAATTTAGCAGATACAACAACAATTCCGTCAAGGAGTTGGAAAGTGTTTTGCGGTACACATATTTGATGCAATTGCCTTTTGCTGAAGGTGGTGGAAGTGTAGCAAGCAGTTGTAGTTGCAACATTTCATTGATCAATTAACCAGACATCAATTTTGTTACGGTATTTCGTATTTCGGACAGAGTTGAGATTGCTGGTGGGATAACCGGTCACCATGGACTGCGTTATCACTTTAACAAAATGGGTCTATCAGAAGAGTTAGATTGTCGAGTCTGCTTAGAAGCAGAAGAGACTTTCAGTCACATTCTCTTTGATTACCCAGCTTTGATCTGGATCAGAAGGAAGTCACTGAATCGAGAACTACTCTCCCCTTCTAACATTATGAGATCCTCAACGGGTGACATTCTGGCTTTCATTCGAAAAGTGGAATGTTTTCTGTTCGGTTAAGGTCTGTTGCAGCACAAAAGTGTGAGACTTGAATCCACTAAAACCACCTCTTACGAATGAATGGAGAAAATAACGACAGCATTGTGGAAACTTTATTCCAGTGATAAAGGGAGAGAGATTAGAACAAGAGACTTAATACCTAGCAGGCTAGGTTCATCTAAGCATGGACCAGAAAGCATGGGCATAAATAAAAAAGGTATGTTGGGAGTTCGTGAAGAGGGTGGGGTTATTGCGTAAGCACGGGGATACAAACGGTAGACTTTGTAACCACGCTCACGAGAGCCGCGGAAAGAGATGTTGAAGGGATTAGAGTCTCATCGAAATAAAGTGGAGTTTTATGGCGTAAGGTTTGGACGAATTCCTCAGGGAGTGTGCTAGCAAACGAATAATAATTGCGAATAAAAGTACCTTTAGGCATGAAAACTATTGTATAAAATCTTTTCACATTTGAAATAAATTGATAAATTATTATAACATTTATATCTAAATTAATTTTGTAAAAAGTTAAAAGCCATTGTTTGCAAAATAATATTTCATGAGTTTAAATGAGACTTGTTCTCTAGAATCAGACTTGTTCTCCAGAAAAATGGTTCAAAAAAAACATTTTATTCGTGTATAGTAAAGCAAAAATTCAGTTGATTCAAATAATCAAAAATTTTGTTGTTGTAGTTCAATAGTGTTCGAAACCCATTCTTTAAAAACTGTTAAAATCTTTCAAAACGGAGTAATCCTTAATAAATTGAAGCATGACACCTAAATTGATTTAATATTGCACTTCTCTTCTGCTGGTCTCTTTGCGGCTTTGCGGTGCACTTATAAACCATTTGGTTCCATAAAATTAAAAAAAACAAAAAAAGCAACAAAACAAGACCATGTAATCCTCATTGTTTCACTTAGTCAATGCGCAAGGTGCAATGTAAGTAACTGCGGGTGCCAATATGTGTACTTAGCATTACTAACTGACGCTGCCACCAAATAACAACAATAAAAATAATAATAGCAACTTTATATTATGCAAAATTGCATTCAACATAAAACAAACAAAAACGCAAAGAAAAACAACAAAACATTCCCATTGTTTTTCATATTCGTTAACGATGCAATGATGCAATCCCGATAAGCGACTGCTCCTGCCCTAAACCGCAAGTGCATTTTGCATTGGTGGCAACTCCTTCTACAGCGAATGCAACGAGACAGGAAATCCATACAATGGCGGCAGTTCTAATGCAAATGAATGAACTGTTTTTTTTCTTTTCTGATTGTTTCCTGATTGTTTTGTTTTGTTTTGTTTTTTGTTTGTTTTGAATTTTTTTTTCAGTTGCAATGTTGCAATTGTTACTTGCAACCATTTTAAAAAGTTTAAGTTTTGTGTTGTTTTTGATTTGCCGCTTTTGATGTGTCGGTACACTTGAGAAGTTTTGGAGAGGTTTTTGCGCCTTTTTATGGGTGAAATGAAAATTACATGAAATTTTGATTTAAATTGAGTTTTAAGTTTTTTTCTTATTTTTATTTTCTATTTTATGAAAACTCACTGAACGAATGGAGTTTTTATTTCCATAGACTATGCAATATTAAAAAATTTCCATATAATTGTTCAAACTTATATAAAAACCTACAGTGATCTAAACATTCGTACGATATTGCAAGATCAAAGTGAGTTTCATTATAAATAATGCATATCCATCTTAAGAATCTATTGTGGTAACCCTGGAGTAAATTTTACTAAGCTCACCTGAATAAATAAAACCTATTGATATAACTAACAATATCACTTAGTTTAAGACTGCTGATCTTCTTCAGTTTAATGAAAGC